GTGAAAACAAAATTATTGACCAAGAATACGTTTATTATTTAGATCCAAAATCTTTTGATTGTATTAATAAATACCCCAAACATTATTTTATGAACAAATAATGCAATTATTATTAATATTAATAAAATGAATTATTTAAGTGAATTACAAAATGTTTGTACTTTGTAATTATATTATATATAATTTTCAGTATAAGTACTTAAATCGTATATGAAATTATGAAATAACTATATAATTAAATAGATTGGTTTATTTACCATTATTTATTGACATTTTTAAGTATATAATTTTATATACTTAAAAATGTCAATGTAATAAATAAGAAGTGCATTCGACACAAGCTAATACGTTTTCCGAAGGTAAATAAACCAATATATTTAAGTTATTTAGTTATAAAGTGATTTCATATTATCATGTATGATTTAAATTTTAAGTACCTGTACTGAATATTTTTTTTAAATAAATGGCTCCTCTTAAATAAAAAAAGATTTAGGGGTCGACTATTCAAAATAAAACTTTTCATACAAAACTAACTATACACTCGTAACCCAACATATGGCTTTTAAAATTTTAAATTCATTACAGGTCAATCCAAAAATATGCAAGCCGGACCAATTTTCTTTTTTAATAATTATTTAAATATATAAATCATTTTAAAGTTTTTTTTTTTTTTATCAAGTTCTTTGTTCATTATTTTTTCTTTTATTGTGACTTGTTTGGTGCTTTTTTTAATATTATTTGTTATTTAAAATGATTATGAATGAATTATTTTTACTGCAATAATAAAGGTAAACACACGGTACATTTTTTATTATTGTTACTTTGTAAAATACTACCTGTTGCTTAATGCTTATATCATTATTATTATACAATTGGATGCAACTTATTAATTTTTAAGAATGTGGTGAAACCTGGCAACGAAAAACTTAAAATATATATATATATATATATTGATACCACGCCAGTTGTAAATGAAAATTGGATGTACCAGTCTGGAAATTAAATTGTCGGCATTGCAGTTCTCTTGCATAATATTACCTATATTATATAGTGTACATTATTCCGATGTCTATTGGTGCACTTAGAATTATTTTTTTATAAAGTTTTATGTCTTGTTCGATGTTTCAACGTTATATTATATAATTCCCTTTAGAGGCTTATATATTTTCCTTTCCATAAATCTTAACTTTTAAATTTGACAGACAACAACTAACATTTTATCGGTGGTATATTAATTATTAAGAGGATTGCAAGGTATATTATCTTCTGTCTTTGTCTAAAACACGTGAAATATAGGAATTTAGACGTGTTTTCATTCCAATGTACCGATTGGAACTATAGAGAAGCGATAATAATTCTAAAATTCTAAATACAGATTTTAAGTTTTCGTCAAGCCTATACTTGAAATCAACTATCCCAGATTTTAGATTCTGAGAGGAGCGATGAATGTAAAGATGTGTCATTTATTTATTTTTTTTATTTTTTTTGTTTTTATTCACAAATACACGATAAATAGTCGAAATAATGCTTAGATTTTTAACTTCAGTATCTTGTTTGATGGGAAAGTGAATCTAGTTGGTGTATTATGGGGACGTAAAAATACCATATTCCATGTCTTAAAAAGTGCAGGGGAAAACAAAAAAATAATAAAGGAAAAACAGTAATTTTTACTCAAAATAAGTTTTCGACAAAAACGATTTTGGTTTTTGGTGTAAATCTAAAACAAATGACCGAAGACACATGCAATTTTCACTGAATGTTTATATTCGCATTTCCTTATATACACCATGAGCTTTTCAAAATATTTTGACTTATTTTGAGCTGTTTACGAGGACAAAGGCAGAAAATCACCTCATCCAATCCCCTTAACAACAAATTAATTGTTTGACCGAAACAAATCCGCCAACGCCTATGCCCTATGGTGGATTATATTGAATGAATTATATAAATATTATATGAATAATTAATTATAATATTATTATAATATGTATTAAAATTGACTGTAAGTATAGTATGGGAAATTCAATTCATAAATGGAACTGTGATAAAATCAAAAATGTTAGATCTCTGGACTGCTGGAGTGTCTATAGGCATTGATTTGTGAAAGTAGTATTGTTATTTTATTATAATATTATATTCAAAACATAATAATACTAATAAGTGTCATAACTCATATTAATATATATTATTTCGAGTTTAACCGTATATAGTTAACACTAAACGTAGTATATATATATTACTAGTTGAACGGGTGTACTTTGTTGCCCGTAAAAAATCGTAACTCTTAAAAAAATTATGTTTGTTCAACTCCTTTTGGTTGTAACTTGCTGCAGTATACTTATATATAAGTGCAACTCAGCCACCTTCCGCCTACGTCGGACAAAGGGCAACTCGTTCACCTTGCGTTGGTAGGCAATGTTCAATAATTTGATTTGACGCAAGCTTGTACCTGATCTGCCCGAATAACCAATAATAAATAAATACAAATTTCTACTGTAGACTGTGGCAACTACTTGAAACAACTCTGTGAAAAAAAAAATTGGAAAAATATTAAATTATGTCGATACAAAATTGGAACATAAAAAAGGCCTGTTCTTTTGTATAAGGATATATTATGTATTATAGATAAGTAGGTACTGCGCAGGTTTAGCATAAAAACAATAATATATATAAGAAAAACCCCGGGGAATTACCACTATTATTGTAGTATTTATCAATTGTACCACGTCATTCAATCGATCACTGTAATGGATGTGCGATAAATTCTGCGATAAATCATTGTATAGGTACGATGAAAAACAATTCTGAACGGAAACTGAGAATTAAATTAATCAATATAGAAAATATGTCTAAGGATATTTTGTCATACCTATATATAATATTTTATACTGCAATTTTTCATAAGTAATATTGATTGAATTAAATTTTGCAAAATACATATATTATTATATGGCATAAATTAAATACCTCGTAATTATATTATACATAAAATTATTAGCAATAATTGACTTATAGAGTGACAGTATAGAAAGGTGTGTATATTGGTTCCCGGAATAAATAACTTAAAATTAATCTAAATATTCTGAAAATTCCTATGTATATTATGTACATACCAGGGTAGGCAAGAAAATGCCCAGCCCGAAAAAACCAGGTCTGCTTATCTGGGTTAAACCCACTCATTATTTTGAAAAAAAACCCATAAAAACCCAGGTTGCTTTTCTAGATAAAATAAAAATTCACTCTTATTTTTTTTTTAATTTGTGTTAACTTTCAGAAAAAATTTCCTTACTTATGGGTATAATTTATTTCTCCAATTAAGTATTTATAACTACGGGGTGCCACCATTGGGTGACTTGCCCCTCCCGTCAATCAAACCACATCCTATTTACTTATTCTATAACTTGTAAATACAGATTGTAAATATAAATTGTTGTTAAATAAAAAAAAAAAAAAGGTATTTAACTAATTTGTAAAATATTTAATAATTATTTTGTTTTTAATTAGGTACCTAGGTACAATTAAAAATAAAAATTGAAAAAATTTTACACCAACGGTCAATGGAAATGTTAACAATATTTTATTTTTAATAAGGTATTAAATACGTAACTTTCCTGTAAATACTTAATGAATAATCTAAACAAAAATGTACAATTAATAAAATAACAAATATTTGGTAATAAAATAATAGATAAGGGGAAAATTAAAAAGCAGTGCAGCTAATAACTACATGGAAAAAAATTCCGATTTTAAGGATGGGTTTTTTCAGAAAAAACCTGATAAAACCACCTATTATTACTTTTACATACTAAAACCCATCGGGTTTTTGGTTTTTGGGATTTTTTGTGGTTGGGTTTTTTTCTATAAAGCCCTGATTTTTGCCAACCCTGGCCTAAGTGTATAAACTTCTATCGCTCGTAAAATTGTAGTTTCAATCTAACATTTTTTTTTTAATTTCAATCTTTCAAGTCAGCTGTGTTGAAATTATACAATTAATGTAATGCATTTTTAATTATTTCATTCTTTTCATATATTTTGGTGATTTTGAAGAATTTTGTAAAAATTTGAACTTTATATACGCTCACAAAAAAAAATTTAGACTGAAAATTTTACCGATAAACAAAATGTTATCTTACATAGATAATTCGAAAAAAAATAGTATAATTTTTAAGATATTCATAAATACCACAAAATGATCCAAATACTGAAAGTTATAACATGTCTAGTAAATGCTTATATGAATATTTGATGAAAATATTTTCAAATCTCTATACAGTTATTCAGTTTTGAGCTGTAACAATAGTCAAAATCTGATTTAACGTCAAAATTCCAGTTAATACATAATTAATTTAAAGGTACATGACATTTAGGTAACCAAAAGTATCAACTAGTCCAGATTTTCTACCAGAAACCACTCTCAAAGTTGTGTACTGTAACTTTTTACTGTTCCATAAAAGATGGTGAAAAAAACACATAATATCATTGATTGTAAAATCAATAAGTACATTCATCGGTCCTCTCAGAATCTAAAAAATACGGCAGTGGCTGTATTCTGTGTGCGCCGTTTTTATTGTTTGAGAATAAAAAAAATTTAAAAGTTTTAAAACACAAATCTCGGCCAACGGAATTCTCACGACGAAGTCTTCGCCGACGACCGGAGCGCTCCATCGGCGGCGACTACGAGTAACCCGCGACGGACGAGAAACAGTGGTCGGCCGCCGCCGCATGCGAGCGTCGATGATGCGGTGGGGGGAAGTGTGGAGGAGGATCGTGTCGGAGCGGGTGGAGGAAGATCGCGGCGGCCGGCGACCGAACGGCCACGGCGGCGTTCAACAGTCGTCAGCCCGTCAGTCGTCAAACAGTCGGCCGCTCGTCATCGTCACTGTTCACTGCACTCGACCACGGTCTGCTGCCACGTTTTCACTAACGGAACGGCTTTTTTTCCGAATTTTTTTTTCTCCATCCCGACCGACATATATCGTAATCCACACGGATCCGCCACGATGAGGAGCAGCTGGTTACGCGCGTTGGCCGCGGTGTGCGCCACCGTGGCGCTGGCCCAGGCCGCCGAACCGCAGCAGCAACAAGGCCAGGTCGAGACGCTGGCCAACGGTCTGAAGATCGAGTACGTGTACACGTTGGACGGATGCGAGCCCAAGTCCAAGATCAATGACATGCTCACCATGCACTACACTGGCAAGCTGGTCGACGGCACCAAGTTCGATTCGAGGTAAGCAGATGCTGCACAGTATTTTCCTTTGCTTATAATAGGTAGTCAACTCGTTTGACGAACACTGCACATTTAATAAAACATAGGAAGAGGAAGACCACACATCATACATTGACGGACAGTGAGAGTTATTGAAATTTTTTCAAACTATAAAAATTACACCTAAATAGTAATTTAAACAATGTCCTAGAAGTGACTAGTACTGCTATCGTATCAGTAGTTTTCACGTTATACAATTTACATAATGTACCTAGTCATTTTATACGTTATTATCCAGATTTAAACACGTTTAACATTATCTTGTATAAATAAAATGTCCACTCAAACTGTTATAAGTAAATTTTTACCGCTTTATTTTCTCAGTTTCCAATGTCACTATGTATGTGCAGTAATGGGCACAGTATGACTTGGTCTTCCACACATCAAACCATTGAAACTACCACTTTCATAGCAGTAATGCCCATTTCCGATCGGTTTTTCGATTACCTCTACTGTAGCTATAATTATGTAAATATCATCAATATTATCATCTGTTGCATTAATCAAAGATACTGTTCTGTAGAAGTACTTGTTAATATGACCGTCCGTCAATGAGTTGTAACGTATAAGCGCGCGATATGTAAAAATAAATTCAAAAAACTCGAAGCACTAGAGAGATTTTTCAATTGTCCGAGACTAGGGACCAGCTATAACGTGTCACTGCACTTACACGTCATAATAATAATATCATCAGTACCTACACAGCTTATAATTATAATTTTATATCCATTATCCACCACTGTTTTCGCTCAATCGGACGATAAGCGCGTACGACGTGCACCTACAACTACACAACAAGTGGCGTTTATAAATCACAGCTGTTGCGAAAACCACGAGAATATCGATATTAATGATTGCATATTATAACAATGCGCCTATAATAAATTACCATGATAATATTATTATAATTCAAATTATTATCGCATAAATATGTTACAATAGGAAATATGGTATTATTATTGTGCGCACGTTTTTATTGCAGCGATCTATAGTCGACTGCTGCTAATAATTTATCTTAACTGTTTACACTTTGCGACAAACACGCACATGCCGTTATGTGTACGCTCGTTACGGTTAATAATAATAACGTCATCATCATCGTGTCGTCGTGGTAATGACGTTTTATGTACGAAAACGCCTCGACGGCTCGAAGTCCACGTCCCGATATATACGCGACCGTTACCGCGTGATTGGGATGGGCGTGACATTTGAATTTATTCCACGGCGTCGTCGCTATCGGACGTGTTTGAATGTTTTGATATTTACTATTACATTAATATGGTGTATAACCTATAATAATATTGTGTATAATATTATTATATTACCTGCAGATTTTTTTGGCCATCGATGCGACAAGAACGCTTAAAAATATAAACACATGCCAATTCCTACTTATTTCGCCACACACTGGTTTTTTTCTTCAGATTTTTAAATCGCAAATTCATAATACAGTAAGTTGTACATCATTTTATACACACGTCAAATTCATTGAATGTTCGAAATTTACTATATTATTATCGCTCAGTAGATACAATGGCAAAACACAATTTCAAAGACAATATTATTATCTTTCTCGAGTATTAGGCGATTTATAAATACGCGTAATACTTGTATGTTTATTAGTACAATACGTAATAGTATGACGTTAAAATACCCACACACGGGCTAAAATATTGTATTTTATAGGTACCTGTTTATGGTTTATCACATTTTGTATACTCTACCCATGAGTTATTAATTTATACCCATCCATTAACGCTCCACGTTAAACCATTAAAATCCATACATATTTTTGTGCCAAGCCACCTTCGCCTTTTTTTCCTATAGATCCTGGCTATGATGGGCCTATAGGCTATAGTTAGGTACCACAGGCGTATTGATCAGAATATTCGTGGACTACACGATAAGCAACATGACGTGTTAATGTTTTTTAGACGCATTTGGCGGCGGATACAAATCGCTGGTCGTTAGACTATTATAATTATAATATTATATGTATTTATAGCACGTAAACCGTACTGCATTTTATAAACGAAAAAATCATTACATTATTATAATTGTGCGCGTATCATAGAAGATGCGTTTACAAATTAATAATAATATTATCATCGCGTACTCTGTTCTAATCAATTAAAAACGGACTGATAACAATAGGTCGACTGAATAAAAAATACAATGCTTAACGATGTCGATGTGTGTAACTCAGTAACGCTGTAACAAATACTTACAACACTAGTAGGTGGTGATGTGGTAAATAAGTGTATAACATACGTATATTGTACGCATTTATAACACCAGCTATACATGCATTATCGTTTTGAATGGTTTTCTAACTGTTTAAAAACCGGTTTCGCCGGAGAACGTATAATATCATTTTCTAAACTCGAAATACTTGAAAAACGTCTAGAATATAATGTAAGAAGAATAATATTACTTTACCTGCGACACGTATAGCCACGTAGGTATGTGGTATCTGGTACTACGACGCACAACTTATACATCATTTATTTTTAACCTAAACATTTCTCGTCGTTATTACTGCAGAAAAGGACAAGTATCCTCGTCCCGATACAATTTATTCATTATTTTAATCGTTATAAACATAATATGTCCGCCCAACGCGCATGATATATTTTTTCCGAGAAAACTCTTTGAACTTCAAAGTCATTATGTACACTGTCTATAGTACCTATACATAATAATATTATAAACTACTACAGCGGACGAGTCTTTTATCCTTAACTTTTAATCATTACATTTCATCTGATGCCTATAATTAATCGTGTTCGTCTTAAATACACATGACCGACCGAAACTCTGAAAACCAATATTGTGCGAAAAATGTCCCAAAGAAAAAGCTCATCACATTAATTTTGAATAGATTTTCTGCCCACACCCCGCCGTAAGTACACACCTACCTGAGAGGACCTGGGATATCTCGAGCCACCTCAGTAAACTGTAAATGAATAGCTTTCGCTTCCTAATTCCTATCACGCATCCCCGTCGCCCCTTTTAGCTTTGTCCCGTGGGACCACGGTGGAAATAATTCAACCAGTTTATAAAAACACGGCTTTCCAAAAGACATAAAAATCGAACGACTACAGATAGAAAACGATAACGATAATATTCGTGAATGTAAGGTCAAAGTCGAGTTTCGACAATTATTAGCTCGTCAAATCAATTTTTAAGCTCGATCTTATGTGATATATAATATTTATCTTGTCAAATGCGGTCAATATTAATTAGGTATAATCGACTACCGAATGAGACATTATTACATTTCCACTTGTGATCAATAACATATTTTATGAATGTGCCCTTTGTACCGAATAATCATTAAAACGATCTGTCGCTGAAACATTATAATTACACATATATATGTGTGTGATGTGTATACTGTATAATATCATTATGTTATTGTACATTAAGTGTGTCGAGTTAAAACATAAGTCAAAACATTTTCGACAAGAGTGATGTAAATATATAATAATAATGTTAACCAATAGGTAATCAATAAATTGGGTGATGATGAGAATATTATATGTTTGGGTCTCGCCGTTAAACTTGCGATACAGATATAAACGAAAATCTAAAGTCGTCAGCCTTAAGCGATACCGAATAAACTGAAACGTCCTTTTAGGTTTAACTCAATAGTACAATACCCTGAATTCGTGGTTAAAATACAGCTTCCATATTTACTTGACCCCATCTTAATAGTTGGAAACATCACTAACTATTATATGCGAAATATTGACTGATCTCGTACCGAGTATAATTTCAACTCTTTGATGCGCACTGACATCCGCTTTCAAATATAAGCTCAATAAGAAGCATCAGATGACAAATTAAAAATGCATTCGTATACGCGTATAATACGGATTTATTTAATATTTATATAGCATATTGTATAATACGCCATACTATACTTATATAAGTATAGACAATAACGCTTAGTCTTTCAGTTAGTCTCAATTTTCTCGCAATTTATTGCTATAATAGATATTATACTAAATAATTTGGCAAAATGTAATCTTTAGGAAGTCGTATGTGTATTATGGCTGTCATTGTAGTTTGCACATTATAACTATGTTTAAAAAAAATGAATAAAATATAATAAACGTTTTTATGATTGTTAATTAATTTCGTTTCGTATGTGTCACATTATGTTTCGCATCACGCTAGAAGTTTTCGCTTTTTGGCGGTCGCGGTATATAAATGAATATCGAACACGTTGTTTATTTTGACATTTTGCTTGGCACTATAATAAATTCATAAGCGAATAATAATTAATGTTGATGATGAGGGGGGCTATAGTCGGCTGTCAAACTTCGTTGAAAATCCAAAAGCTTCAATAATGAAATCCGTCACTGCGATGTCACCAAGTTTACCGTTGTGGGTCAAAAGAACAATGGATCGAAATATTGTGACAATAAGCTACGTGAAAATCCTTTTAGTGACAATGTTCGGGGGAGTGGGCGATAAACATAAACCGGCCGTTGTGCGTATATACAGCGATGTTAAATTTAGCATTATTATTCAAGATTCGCGAAAAATGATAAAAAAAAAAACGATTTTTTTGAAATTGTAACCTTCCACTTCGGCATCGCTTGATTAATCGTAAGTCATAAAATATAGCATAGAGACGTAATGCACGCCGCGCTGTGTGTATTAAAAGCGTGCGTTTTGTATCCTTTCCGCCGGTTTTTGGATTTCGTAATTTTTTCCTTAGAAAAGTAGTGCAGGAAAAACCTTTTTTGTTTTTTTTTTAACTGAGCCTAAGATCCGACTAAGAAACATATATTCTGGAAAAGCCGGTGTAAATCATTTGTCACGTAGTGCACGTTGGTTCGCATAGTGAAAAAGGGGAAGTCTTGCAGTGTATACACCGTTAAAAAAAAAATAAAATAAACGTCCGGGTAATCGGTTCTCATTTTCATTGGGAAATGTAGTGTAGCAACGCG